CAGTGGACACTTACCCTGCTTGCTCCTTCTGGCTTATTCCAATAATAAAACCAGGCATTTCTTTGGAATACTGTTCATGCTTCAGGAACCCCAGCTTTCAAAGCTGCCATTCGAAGGATGGACCTCCAAGCCACCTACCTCAGATAGCCAGCAGGGCTTGCATTCAGGAGTCCCACAGGACTGCAGCAAACAAAGAAGCCGTTTTTAAATGGGCATAGAAGCACCCTCCACCCCACACTAAATATCCAGGCTCAGTGCAGAGGGAGCAGGTAAAAATGCTCGAATCTCCCAGTTTCTCCACAGAAAGAGATTAACTACATGCTTTCTCAATGCTGCCTAAGGGTCCAGCTTGCAATCAGCCTGCATCTAGGTGCTGACCAGGATCTTCCCTTCAGTAACACTAGTGGCTGTTGGCACATCCTCAACCACTGGAAGTCACTAACAACAAAGTAGGTAGTTTGAACAACCACAGAGTTTTGAGAGACGACCTGGAGCTCAGGTAACAAGGTTCAACTCCTACATGAGACCATCAAGACTGGGAGAGGGGGCTGTTTTATGTAATGTGCAGAAAACAACAGAGACAGGGAAGATGAAGAAGAGTCAGGGGAATATATTACAAAGAAAAGAACAAGATAAATCTCAGAAACTGAATGTAATAAAATGGAGATCTGTGATGTACCCAATAGAAAGTTCAAAATAACAGTTGTAAAGATGCCCACTGAAGGCGGGAGAGCAATGATGAACAAAGTGGAAATTTAAATAAGGAGATAGAAAATATAAGCAGACACAAGACAGAAATCACAGAATAGAAAAATGATGTGATGTGGGGTCCAGGAGTGAAGGGTCAAGAAAGAATTCTTGAGACATTTTCAGTGCAAAAAGGTGTTTTTATTATAGCACAGGGACAGGACCCATGGGCAGGAAGAACTACACTGAGATTGTGAGGAACAGTTGATCACACACTTTTAAATTGGTGGGGTAGAGACAAAGGAACTTTTCAAAAGGATTTTCATATGTTAAAGAGGACTTACAGGATCCTGGAGTTGTGGCTCTTGTCCAGCTAAGGTTGCTTTTTGCCTCTAGCAAAGCATTAACATTGAGACAGTTGTGAATTCTTTGAGGATTATCATACTCTGTTTGTCTCAAGTATTTTTCAATGGGCTGCAAGTTGTAAGGAAATTTAATTTTATCTATGTTTCATTTACCTTTGTTCTCCTCATCAAAGAATACGATAACTGAACTGAGAAATTCAATAGAGCGGTTCAATAGCTGACTACATGGAGCAGAATGAAGAATCAGCAAATTTGAAGGCAGGGCAATAGAAGTCATCCAGTCAGAAAAGTAGAGAGAAAAAGAATGAAAAAGAGTGAAGACAGATTAGGGACTTTTATGTGGGCCAACTGATGCATTAGAGTGGTCCCAGAAGGAGAGAGAGGGAAAGGGGCAGAATGCTTATTTAAACAAATAATGACTGAAAACATCCCTCACCTGAGGAAAGAAACAGACATCCAGAGAGTACCAAAGAAGATGCATCTAAAGAGTCCTGCACTGAGAGATTTTATGTTAAATTTATAAGTCAAGCAGAGAAAGTCAATTATCATATGGTTTCACTTATTTGTGGAACATAAGGAATAGCATGGAGGACATTAGGAGAAGGAAGGGAAAAATGAAGGGGCGGGAATCGGAGGGAGAGATGAACCATGAGAGACTATGGACTCTGAGAAACAAACTGAGGGTTTTAGAGGGGAGGGGGGTTGGGGGATGGGTTAGCCTGGTGATGGGTATTAAGGAGGGCACATACTGTGTGGAGCACTGGGTGTTATACGAAAACAATGGATTGTGTATCACCACGTCAAAAACTAATGATGTATTGTATGGTGACTAACATAACATAATAAAATTTAAAAAAAAATGCCAGAAATTAAAGACAAGGACAGAATCTTAAAAGTAGCAAGAGAAAAGCAACTTGTTATGTAGAAGGGAAACCCCATAAAAGTATCAGCAGACTTTCCAGCAGAAGTGTTGTAGGCCAGAAGGTCATTCTTGGGGTGATATATTCAAGGTGCTGACAGGAAAAACAAAAAACAAAACCCCCCAAACATAAAACACCTGCCAAAAAGAATACTCTACTTGTCAAAGCTGTCCTTCAGAACTGAAGGAGAGAGAACGAGCTTCCCCGACAAACAAAAGTGGAAGGAATTCATCACCACTAAAACAGCCTAACAGGAAATATTAAAGGGAGCTCTCAAGCTGAACTGAAAGGGCACTAATTAGTACAAGGGAAACAAGAAAGAATACAACTCTCTGGTAAAGGTTATTATATAGTTAAATTCAGAATATTCTGATACTGTAATGGTGGTGGAAAAATCATGTAACTCTAGTATAAATATTAAAAGAAAAGTATTAATAACTATACAATAGTTTAATGGGTATGCAATGTAAAAAGATGTAAACTGTGCCATCAAAGACAAAATGGGGGGGTGTAAAAAAGCTTTTATATGCATTCAAAGTTGTTACCAGCTTAAAATTGACAGTTGTAACTCTAAGATGTTTTGTGTAAGCCTCATGGTAACCACAAACAAAAACCTATAGAAAATGCACAAAGACAAAGAGAAAGGAATCAAAGCATACTACCCATGATGGAAAACCATCATAAAGGGGAGGGCAAGAGAAGCGAAACAAAAGAATTACAAAACAGCCAGAAAACAATGAACGAAGTGTTAATAGTAGGTCCGTAACATTTTAAAATTTCTTCAAATGTAAATGGACTAAATTCACCAATTGAAAGACATAAGGTGACTGAGTGGGCTTTAAAAGACCCAGGTGAGCTTCACTTCAGATGTAAGGACACATGCAGACCAAGAGTGCAGGATTGGAAACCTAAAAAGCACAGGGGTCACTATACTTATGTCACGCAGAATAGTCTTTAGGCTAAAAACTATAATGAGACAAAGAAGGTCAATACATAATGACAAAGGAGTGAAATGTTCAAGCAGATACAACAATTGTAAATATTTATGCACCCAACACTGGAGCACCCTACATATATAAAGCAGACATCGATGGACCTGAAGGGAGAAATAGACAGCAATACAGTCATAGTGGGGGGAGATGAGGCAGGGGATGGGGAACTTCAATCCCCCACTTACAACAATGAATGGATCATCCAGATGGAAAATCAGTGAGGAAACCCCGGACTTGAGTTACATGTCAGACCGGGTGAACCCACAAACACACGCAGAACATTCCATCTCATGGCAGCAGGATGCACATTCCGCTCAAGTGCACATGCAACATTCTCCAGGACAGACCAGGCCACAAACTAAGTCTTAATAAATTTTAAAAGGCTGAAATCCTATCAAGAATCTTTTCTGAACACAATGGTACAACAGTATAAATCAATTACAAGAAAAAAAATTGGAAAATTCATCAATATGTGGAGATTAAACAACATGCACACACACGACCAGCCCACAGCTATCATCATACTCAACAGTGAAAATTTAAAAGCTTTTCCTCTGGATCAGGTACAAACAAGGATGCCCACTCTTGCCACTTCTACTCAACACAGTACTGGAAGTCTTATAAGGTCAATTAGGCAAGAAAAAGAAAGAAAAGGGGAGTAAGAGATAGAGGCTTCCAGTGAGGGAATGAATAAAGGGCAGCCACATCCGGAAGGGACAAGCACAGTTATCTCTGTTTGCACATGAAAACCCAAGTGGTCATTAACAGATGAATGGATAAAGACACTGTGAAATATATACATAGAGAAGGAAATCCTGGAATTTGAGAAAATACAAATGGACTATTATCCTAAGTGAAATAAGTCAGTAAAAGACAAAACTGTATGATCTCACTTATATGGGAATCTAAAAAAGCCAAACTCAGAAACAGAGAGTAAAGGGTGGTTACCAGGGGCTGGGGGTTGGGGGAAATTAAGAGATACTCGTCGAAGGCTACAAACTTCCAGGTATAAGAGGAACAAGTTCCAGGGTCTAATGTACAGCACGGTGACTACGTTTGATAATATTATGTTACATAATCGAGATTTGCTAAGAGAGTAGAACATTAGTGTTCTCACCAAAGGAAAAAAAGGCAAATATGTAAAAGGATGGATGTGTTCATTAACTCGGTGGGAACACTTTCACAGTATATATGTGATCAAACCATCATTGTAATCCTTAAATATTTTACAATTGTATTTGTCAAGTATATATTAGTAAAGCCAAGAAGAAACAAGTTAGGCAGCCAATCACAGTGGTGGGTTTTAACCTTCAGGCCAACCACGGGGCCTCTTACTTTACACAAAGAAAGTAAGAAAAACAAAATCAAGACATTATCATTTAAAAAGCATTTATTTAGAGACAACTAGGCCATGTCAACATAAGTTGATTCTCCTACTAGAAATGAATAAACATAACCTCACGCAGAAGAAAAGTTAATGTCATCTTTGTTTAATGCAGAGAGGCTGAACTTTGCAACAGCATGTTTCTGCTACCAATATACATATATGTAACTTTTGAAGGAATAAAGATCATTTTTAAGGATTCATATCGTAGCTTGTCCCTACAACTAGAAGGATTACATAATACCTTCCTTAAGCTGATTCCTTCTTCTCTAGTCACTTTGCAAATAGAAGTACCTGAGTTGGTATTCATGCCCCTACCCTTAAGATTCTCAAATTAGAAAAGCAATTACCATATGCAGAGCCAATCACAGGTTTAGTGATGCTTTAAAATGAACACAAAAGGACTGTGACCATAGGAATTGGAGCATATTAACTTTAAATAGTATATGTGATAAAATTAGTACAAAGTATTTAAAGATATGTAAGTTAACCATTTATAGAGAGAAAAAATCTTTTACATATTAGATAATAGTTTATAGAATAAAGAGCAGTATTTTAAAACTTATATTACACATTGCATAACTGGAGAGTAAATCCTATCAGTTGAGAAATAAATGTTTTAAAATTCTCAAAGAAGAAAACTATATAACCTTTAATTCAAGGTAACATAGTTGGCTGGAAAAATGCCAGTTTGACCTCGAAGTTTCCCTTCCCACCAATCGAAATGTGAATCTGTTTGTGATATAACTGTGATTCTGTCTCCAGCGTGAAAATTCAAATCCCCTGGCTGCTGACCTTCAAAAGAATATAATGCAGTCACTTCTATGGGCAGGTTCAACTTGCCTAAAACAAACAAACAAAAGTATTTAAATTATTCACATTTGTAATGGGAAAACCTGGGAAGGTAAGATATAAATTAACTTTAGTACTTAATATTCTAATGTCTTAGAGATGTGGTCTGTGTGATTTTCATCATATTATTAGACTTATGTTCTTCTTCTTCAAAAAGAGCAAATGTTTGGTAATAACGTTTCCTAAATCCATACAAGTCAAACTGCATATTATTATATATTTAACTATGTATTTAGCAAATATTTGTGGTTATAATTGTTTGAATTTTGAATAACCTATAACACTACAAGCTAACCCTGAACAATACAGGTGTGAATTGCACTTACACGTGGATTTTTTTTTTTGATAAACAGCATGATACTATAATCGTATTTTCTCCTTCTTTTCTTTTTTTTTAAATTAGTTAATGTATTTGACAGAGAGAGAATGAGAGAGCACAAGCAGGGGGAGCAGCAGAGGCAGAGGGAGAAGCAGGCTCCCCACTGAGCAGGGAGCCCGATGTAGGACTCGATCCCAGGACCTGAGCCAAAGGCAGACGCTTAACCGACTGAGCCACCAAGGCGCCCCTCTCCTTATTTTCTTAATAACATTTTCTTTTATCTAGCTTCGTTTATTATAAGAATACAGCACATAATACATGTAACATCAAAATATGTGTTAACCTACTATTTATGCTTTTGGTAAGGCTTTTGGTCTATGATAGGCTATGGGTAGCTAAGTTTTGGGGGAATCAAAAGTTATACGTGGATTTTCAACTGCATGGGGTTTGGGGCCCCTAAACCCCCGTCCCATGTTGTTCAAAGGTCAACTGTATTTACATTTTTCCCCTTTTAATATAATGGTCGTTATGGCTTTCATGAATTGTAGCTGTTAGAGAAAAACACATTTATGGTCACGATTGCATCATAAAAGATTTAATTGAAAAACCATGCTCCAGCATAGAGCTAGAGGGTATTATGCTAAGGGAAATAAGTCAGTCAGAGAAAGACAGATACCATATGATCTCACTCATAAGTGGAATTTAAGAAACAAAACAAATGTGCAAAGGAAGAAAAAAGAGAGACATACACACAAACCAAGAAACAGACCCAGACTCTGTTACCAGAGGGGACATAGTAGGAGGATGGGGCTTAAAGAGTACACTTATCGTGATGAAAAATAAAATAAAATGTTAAACAAAACAAAACAAAAACCATGCTCTGTAGCCTTTGGTTTTTAGGATTCCAGCTCAGAAGAATTTTGCCGATTCATCAGCAGACATTTTTTCCATAGGCTTCATGGCTGTTTTCATTTCTGTGCTTACTTTATACTTTCTCTCAAAACAAGATAAAACTCAAATTAGCACAAGAAGTACGTCTGCATATGCTTAATAAGAGTTTCAACACAATGTGTAGAATTTTCTGTATTGTATTAGGAAAAAAATACCTTGAGAATTGAGGAGTTAATATGAGTAAAAAATAGTAAATATTATAAACTCTATAACATCACAAGAAATATAAAAAATCAGATACTTTCTGTGTATTCAACTACATGGAATTTTATATTTGTTTCACATATTATGTGCACATATTAGGAAATTAGATGCTTGTTAAATGCATCTTAGTGCAGATACACTGAAAACATAAATAACCGAATTCTAAAAACCAGTTACTTATTTGAACCTATGATACTATAATAGTAAAAGATAAACCAAATTTGGCTTGTCAGTAAGAAATAAAGTCAAGACTTTAATTACACTGCATTGACCAGAACATGGAATTTGTAGTTCACACAAGATGGTGCTGCAGTTCTTTCTGTAAAAGCATGTGCCACGTGGTTCTTTGAGTTCTCCTCAAGAAATAACCCTAATAGCAACTAACAGAATTACATTCGAGGGATTCCTGGTATCATTACTTTTTTCTATCATACAGACATGTTCTGCCTGTTTTTATATCTTATACTATATTTACTTGTAGTCTATCAATTTCAAGGAAGAAGGTTAAAAGTATAACACAGAAGTGTAGAATTTTGATAACGTCTGGATATCGTCAAATCCAGCTGAGTGACAGCCAACACATTAATGAGCACTCATCACCGTGTATGTGACAAGCAGCGGGGGTCCCGCACTGCGGTGGGACACACAGCAAGTCCTCCTGACAGGCCCCTTTCTCATTAAATCAGAGGAATATAAGGTGATGTTAGATTCTGAACATCATTTTCTCATTAATAATTATATTTATCACCTCCATACATAAAGCTCAACCTCTCTCAACCAAACTTAATGAAAACCCTCAAATCGCTCCTCCTCTCTCGTGTCTCCAGACACCTTGGATAATACAAAGAAGCAAGCAGAAGAGTCCCAGCGAATATCAGGGAATGTTCTGGAAGTCACAGCCACCTTAGCGGCCATACGCGTGTGCATCTGTAGCACCAGGTACAAAGGAAAATGACGAGAGGGTGATCGCAGTGATGACAGGTGCCAGCCCTTGCCGTGTGCTCAGCCCGTCCCTCGTCCCCAGCGAGCAGCTGCCGCCACCCCTGCATCACAGAACATCAAGCTCAAGTGGAAGTGTGAGGCACTTTGTCCAAGGAGCTGAGATCCGAATCTCAGAATCACCACTGACCTCATCCCCCAAGGCCCTCTGCACCACACAAGTATTAAATTGTGTTCAATAGACTGAACTTAGACTTATCAGGGCATTTCACTTTTGTCAGGCACATTTTCAAGGAGAATTAGCATATTCTTCTGCATCACTGAGTTATCCAGACTCTACAAATAATAAGAGTGTTGGATGATGATCCTGGGTAACCACTGATAACTGAACTGGTTCTTACTGGTTTTAGGAATATATTTTGTGAAGAACAATTAGAGGAAGAAAGATATTATGAACTGAATGAAAGACAGAGAGGATCACAGACTTGGTTCAGTCCTTGCCCTTCCCATTTAGGTGTTGTCCAGTTTCCTCTGAAATGTAGTTTCCAAATGAACTAAGGGTAAAGTGGTGATGGGAAAAAGGGGGTGTAAGGACAGAGCAGGTGGTTTTGAGATGCAGAGAGAAGGCAGTGCTGTGGGGTTTGAGGATGTTGGTATTCAACATCCCTCTTTCCCTCCACCCAAATTTTGAGCAGAGATGAGGCAAATGGGGAGGGGAATCATTGCTGGGAGACCTAGGGGAGAATATGGGCAAGATAGGCAGACAGGGATGTGCCAAAGAAGAGTCAGGAGTTTAAGCAGTTTCGGGGGAAATTCATCCACAAGAACACAAGGTGGTGAGCCAAGCCTGCATGAAGACTGGCACTCCCCGGAGGTAACAGTCCACAGGCCACTCAATGTCATGCCCTACTGTTAGTTTTTTCTTCAAGTTCTTAAAGTTCTTCTTCACTGTAAATACTAGAGATACCTTGCATAAGGAAAAGTTTAATGCCCACAAAATAGCTTATTAAAAAAAAAAAAAAAAAAGGTGGGCCTTTTTTCTTCCGGGAGGGAGGTATGTCCTTCCAGAAAGAGAGCGCCCCCTGGGGACCCCGGAAACAGGCCCCACTGCCAACTAAAATATCTGGCATTCACAGAAGCCTTGCCTTCAAGTTTTATATTCCTGTGTTTAAGAAATATGGAGGCTCTTTGAAGCAATTAAACATTTTCATCATAATATTCAACTTTAATTCAAATACAGGTTATTTTCTCTCCCAAATCAGGACTACAGTTAACAGGAAGCAGCTGTCCTGAGGCTCCTAATTAGCAAGGCTGGGTCTATAGGGTGTCACTATTTTACTCCCAGTTGCCTTCTCTATGTAGTCTGCATAATGTAACCCATATGTAACCAACATATCCGGCCCTAGACGTGATTCAGGAAAGGAATCCAGTCTTTGGAAGTTCGTTGCAAGGCAAGCAGAAGAGAACAAACACATCTTTGGTTTTGTGTACATTTAATGTAGTGGTGAGTTGCATGGCTGACTTAATCTGGTACCCACATCCTCCCAGGTCAGGTGTGGGGTCTGTCACTTTGGGGACCATGTCCTTTGGAAGAGGGTGAGAATCATTGGTGAGTGAGGCAGATAAGGCCACTGGGTGATGTCACCAGAAAAGCAGTTCTCAAAAGGTAATGTCTGGAGCATTTGTGGTCCTTGGAACTGGGGAGGGAGTATTATTGGCATGGAGTGACTCCGTCCAGGGCATCCACGCAGCACAGGATGGCCCCCACAGTGGATGTGCCCACACTGTCGCTGAAAATTACAGGGTGGATAGGAGGCGGGCGGGGAAGACTGACACAGGAAGGCACAGGCTGTTACAGAAAGGCACAGTAAACCAGGTTGTGCGGTTGCAAGGCTGTCTTGCTGAGAGGACCAAGTACCATGTAGTTGAGCTTCCAAAGGGTGCAGAACAAAAGTATATGCAATTTGGAGAATTCCTGCTTTGCCCAACAGCCCACGCAAAAGTGCAGCTGGTCAGTGGGTATGGGACAGGCTGAGAGCAAGCCCACACAGGACTGGATGTCCTGGTAGGATGGGTTTTAACTTGAGGCTCAGGCCTGTGCCCTGTGCCTTTTCTCTGCAGCAATGCTCGGCCAGGACGTGAGAAAGTCCTTGGTAAGAATTTAATTGATTTCACAGCTGCTTTTAAAAAAAACACAATCATGTTAAGTAAGTTTTATTTTAAAAAATAGACTTTAAATCTTCCTTTCCATTTTTTTCTTCAAACTCCCTTATATTTGGAGAAAGGACTAAAATAAATTAATATTATCCTAGTACCTACTGTGTGTACAACTTAACTTATCCAACCCTCAAATATATATATATACATAAAAGCAAACCTGACCAACCAACCAACCACGGGCTGGTAACTCTCCGTGGATCACACGGCTAGTGGTCAAAGTATTGAGTTCAAGTCACATCCTGTTTCCAGAGCCCACACAGGGTTTGTTTCTTATAATTTCACACTGCCCTTAGTGCCTTTTAGGGGTATTACTAACATTTCCTAGGCACCCAGCCTGCAGGTACATGCTCTAGAGAACCCTGAGAAAAGGAGCTGCAGTTCCCATGTCACCACAGCCTCTGTTGTCCCTTGTCCCTCAGTGTCCCTGCTGGCCCCTCTCCCTCAGCAACTCAGCTTGTCTGTTGACCTCAAATTTAAGAATCCCTTTAATTGCAGGATACCTAAGTGTAGGTCTAATTCTAACAGAGTCTTTAAAAGACCACTATATAAAATTCTCCATGCTACTTGGGTATAGACATTTATATGTTAACCACTTTTGCTTCTGAAGGATGTGTTTCCAAAGGTCAAATTATGACAGTCTCAGTATCTCTACCATGGCTGTAAATCACATTCACAAAAGCAAAATACATTTTTAAAAGCCTCTAGTTTTCTCACTGTGCCTGGGACCACAGCACAGTTAAACCCAGGCCATCAGACTGCCTCTGAACATAGGACTCTCTCCACCTGGGCTCCTGCGAGAACAGATGGCCAGAATTGGGCTTCACACAATGGGAACCAGGCTGAAAGCAAAAGGAAAGTCAGAAACCCTAAACCATCAGGAAAAGGTTGACTTCTGTTTAAGGAACTCTGCTTAAGAGACATTTTTGAAATATCTTTATAAATTTTAAAAAGAAACGGGTACTTAGTGACCGTGACACTCTGTTTACGTGAAACAAGTAATGCCCCTGGAGTTTCCTTACCAAGGATGGTTCTGTGATCCCAGTGACAAAAGATGATGTGAAAAAATAAACAGGCTATTTTACAACTGGTTAACCTTTGCCCTCATTTTGTGTCCCATTCACATTTCTAAATAATTGCTTAATTCTTTAAGGAACATTTTCTAAAGAATATTGAAGTAAGACAGGTTGAGGGACTATTTCATCATGGCAAATCCTAGTAAGTTTTATGAAGTAGTTCCCAATAATGGCAAAATATCTGAACATGAAAAATAAAAAAAATTCCTTAAAAATATAAAAATATTCACGGGGCTAAAACCCAGAAAAAATGTGATGATGATGAAGTTGTAATTCACAATGAACAAACCTTGTCATTCTATCATGACAAGATTTTAAAAAAGCCTGTGGTTTGGTCCTCGGATAAGCCCCTGGGAGTCAGCGGCACTTAGTCCCAAGCTGGGGTGCTCCCTGGCAGGTAACTGAGCACGTGCCTCTTACAGTCCCCCATCGCCCTCCTTATCTCAGATTAAAAGCAAGTAAGAGAGCAAAAGCATAGCATTTTTTAAATGAAGCACATCTCAAAAGCATGTGCATATCCTATAAATCAAAGGAGTGCTGAGCACCTTCCCAGAGAGTTTTACAAACTGCCATATTAATTAGAAAGTTTGTGATTATAAGATGGATATGAATCATTTTTAACATATAGATATTTCATTTACCAACTCTCTCCTGATAGCTGGAAAGTTCAGGGTAGAGCTTATATTTGCTTCTGTTATCTGCAAAACAGAAAAAAAAGGGGGGGCATTTACAAGACTTTATTAGCATATCGTATATAAAATAGCCAAGAATGCCAAATCTTGCTCTTGCAAAGCAGGTATTTTAAATCTCTAAGATTGATAGAAATACCATTATTTTATCACACTTTAAATCAAGAGGAATGCCTGAATAAACCCAGAAAGTACACTGAACATAAGGCAGAGGGTAAATATCTGGTATCTATAGGATTAGAAGCGCTGAAACTACAACTCATGACCTTGGAATTACACATTCATGGATAACACACATACATCTTTTTTTCCAGAAGCAATCATAAGATACCTGAATTTTAAAAAAGTTTGTAGCCCCCAAGCCAGTGATTTTCAAACATCGCACTTTGCTTAGCCCCTAAAGTAATTTTTAAACAGCATGTATTCACTTGTATATTTTTTAATTAATATCTAAAATTATTCAATATAAGCCTAAAAACTGTAAAGGGAACACTTCATAGCATATTTCAGTTTCAGTTATTTAAATTAAATAATTATATCTCTTCCTGGGATAACAGAACCTAAATATCACAGTATAAATATGAGTCATTATTATCTCTTTCTGGGATAACAGAACCTAAATATCACAGTATAAATATGAGTCAGTATTATAACTATACTCTCCATCATTAGTTAAAAAAAAGCTTTTTTTTCAAAGTCAGAAATTATGTAATGTTCATTTTAACCTTCAAGTCATATTTCAATTCCATTTGTCTCAAAGATTTTATACTAATGTGTTAATATTATATTTTTATGTAACAGTTTCTACAACAAAAATTTGTACATAAATTTATTTTTATATGTTATTGGAAGTAAGCACAAGGCCCTATTAAATAATTTCTTGGGACGCCAGTGTGGCTCAGTCATTAAGCGTCTGCCTTCGGCTCAGGTCATGGTCCCAGGGTCCTGGAATCACACCCCACGTCGGGCTCCCTGCTCAGCAGAGGGTCTGCTTCTCCCTCTCTCTCTGCCTGCCTGTCTGCCGACTTGTGATCTCTCTCTCTTTCTGTCAAATAAATAAATAAAATCTTTTTAAAAAAATAAATAAATGTATAAATAATTTCTTATAGACTGAATTATTATGGTAATCATTACTGACACACAACTGACCAAAATCTTAAATATATTATTAACATGTTAACTTATTAAACATGAAAGCCAATTTTTATTTGAAATGCATCTCCATAGAAGGGTAAGACTTTCAGCTCATATACACAGGATGACTATTTCTTATTTCTACAATGACATAGGTTCAATGTATTTTAGTATTCTTTTTTAAAGATATAGGTGCTAGAAAAGCTGGTTCTTATAAAAACTAGAGAGGGCCAAAAGGATATATTTTACAGCAATGTAACAGAATTATTTTATATTCCTTCTGAGATGGAGGTCAAAAAAATCACACTTATCTATAATTAAAACGACAATAATAAAATATTACTTTTATAACTTTTTGTTTTGGTGATACATAGCTATGTGATTTTTAAAATAAGTAATATATAATGATAATATTAACTACTATTGTTATTTTAAATTATATGACAATTCCATTATGCCTCTTTAGTTTTGTTGAAAGCAAAGAAACAGAAATCACTGGATCTACAAAAGTATCTGCTACTTATCAGAATCATTCACTAACTATATCAACATCTGTATTTCAAACTGGATCATTGTTCTTATATTTTGGAGACAATGTAGCATAGTATGATTCGGGATGATCTGGGGTTTTTCTTACTCAAGTGTGAAAAAAAAAAAAAAAACCATTAGGAAGGCTAGAAGACAGAGGGTAGCCTGCATGTCATGTTCTGATTGGAACCAGCTTTCACAAAGGATGTAGCTAGGAGCTGGAGCTCTGGAGACTGGATATCCTGCACTCTGTGTCCACAAACCCTGGGGAGTGTCTGAGTACTCCCTAAGGACAGATGCACACCAACCAGAACGCTGTTGGCCTAAGAAATTTATGACAAAAGAATATAGAAATAAACATTGGCAGCATGGGGAAGGGGGTATAAATATTCCAAAAGAATCTATTTTTAAAAACTGATTAAAAATAACAGATTTTGGATACTGATCAGATATAGGACAAAATACATGCAAATTAAGACTTTCTCAGCATAAAAATAAGCACTCTGCAGTAGAAATGGGAAAGTACAGGGCGCCTGGGTGGCTCAGTCAGTTAAACGTCTGCCTTCGGCTTGGCTCAGGTCATGATCTCAGGGTCCTGGGATCAAGTCCCACATCCTGCATCGGGCTCCCTGCTCAGCGGGGAGTCTGCTTCTTCCTCTCCCTCTATCCCTCCCCCCTGCTGGTGCTCTCTCTCTCAAATAAATAAATAAAAGAAAAAAAAAGTTAAAATAAAATAAATGGGAAAGTACAGTCCATTCACTGCAGCAAACCAAAATTATAAAGTACTTAGGAAAAATTAAAAAAAAAGGCACAGAAACTATGAAATCTTAGGAATGACAGAAAAATATCTTAACAAATGGAAAGCATAAAATGGAAAAATTATCATACAAATGCCAAATTAATTAATTTATACATGTAATGTTATTATAATTAATATCCCAAATCATAGAATCAATACAAGTGTATGATACTTTTTTTAAAAAGATTTTATTTATTTGACACAGAGAGAGACACAGCGAGAGAGGGAACACAAGCAGGGGGAGCGGGAGAGGGAGAAGCAGGCTTCCCGCGGAGCAGAGAGCTGGATGCGGGGCTCGATCCCAGGACCCTGGGACCATGACCTGAGCCGAAGGCAGACGCTTAACGACTGAGCCACCCAGGTGCCCCTATGATACTCTTTTTTAGAGTTGCATATTGCACACAGTAGTCCCCCCTTATCCGCAGTTTTGCTTTTCAGCCTCAGCTACCTGTGGTTATCCACAGCCCAAAAGTAGCTGACCCTCCTGATTTATTGTCAGAAGGTCAATAATAGCCTAAGGCCAGCACAATGCCTGCATCCCTCACCCCCTTCATCTGGCCACGGAGGCATTTCATCACATCATTACAAGAAGTACAGTAAGATATTTTAAGAGGCAGGGGCGCCGTGTTCATATGACTTTTATTACAGTACGTTGTTGTAATTGTTCTATTTTATTATTATTTATTGTTGTTAATCTCTTTTTGTGCCTAATTTATAAATTAAACTTTACCATAGGTCTGCATGTATAGGAAAAAGACATAGTTTATATAAAGTTCAGTACTATCCATGGTTTCAGGTATCCACTGGGATCTTGGAACATCTCCCACCATGGATAAGGGGGGGACTACTGTGTATAAAAAACAAGACCAACAGACAAATGATACATGTAGGAAAAAAAAAACTAACCCAAATGATAGACTAAGTGCTTCTACAAATGGAAGAGGCAACAAATACTCCAACAGAAAAAAATGGACCAATGAAATGAAGAGACTTTTCAGAAAAGATTAAATCTAAAACACCAGCAATTTTATGAAGAAATCTTTAGGTCACTAATAGGGGCAAACACAATCTAATTAAGAAGGAGATAAAACCAACCCTCAGATATGCAAATACTTCAAAACACTCTAACACTAATAGTGCAGAGGAATATACGTGGTGGGGAGTGTGCCTGGTGGGAGCATTGTCGTGGGGAAAGGCTGATGAGTCTCTGCAGTAGTAAAAACTTAAAATATAATCTACCAAATCTGCTAAAGTTTAAAAATATATCCTTTAACCTATCACATCCATTCCTGGTAGTTCTCTCCAAAAATAAATAAAAGTGCCAGTATGTAGACACACCATTTGAGAAAGATGTAAATTATGGAGCTGGCTGGCATGGAAAAAAACTGAAATAAAGAAGTTAGTACCTATTAATAGGAGAGTGGCTGAACAAAATATGTTCATTTGTACCATGGAATATTAAAAAGCCATTCAAAAGAAGTAACTAGAGCTGTACCAGTTGATTCAGGGATTTCTATAAGGTGTTCAGCGAAACAAACAAATAAGCAAAACTCACAAACAAGATAGAGTAAAACATGTACAATATGACAGCATTTTTGTAAGGCAACAAAATATCCTGTCCATGTGTATCAGCACATTTGTACATGTGCCTGTGTACAGGAATATACAAGAAAAATATATATGGAGAAAAATATAGATGTCTATACTGCATGTTGTCAGCATGTCAGGTTTCCTGGGATGAGAACGGGTGTAGGTGCCACATGAGTTAAGAGGAGAAATCTGAAAGGGGAGCAACTCATAAAAGAAAATGCATTAAAAAATTTACATGAACCATATATATGCATTTATATAAAATTATATGTGAGGAAGATACGTAAAGAAATTAAAAATTAAGATGCAGTTTTTTAATGACAAACTTAGGAATAGGTGAGATTTAAAATGAAAGGTTAAAAGTAGATACCCATTTTAAACTTTCCTTTTATTGAAACAAAAACTGGTATTCAAAACTTGGGATGAGAAAGATGGTATTCACGTGAAAAACAAAAACAAACAAATGGTAGGGACCTAACAGCAAATAAACTCAAAAAGCCAAGGGAAAATGAGAGTGTTCATGAGAAGGTGTGGTGAGGAGAGCTGAGTGTGCAGAAATGTGCAAAGACCGGGGTGCCTGGGTGGCTCAGTCGGTGAAGCATCTGCCTTCGGCTTAGGTCATAATCCCGGGGTCCTGGGATCGAGCCCCACATTGGGCTCCTGGCGCAGCAGGGAGCCTGCTTCTCCCTCTCCCTCTGCCTCTCCCCCTGCTCATGCTCTCTCTCTCTCTGTATCTCTGTGTCTCAAATGAATAAATAAAATCTTAAAAAAAAAAAAAAAGGAAAAGAAAAAGAAGTGTGCACAGATCAAAAGGTAAACCAATGAGGACACAGTCATCACTGTGCAAAGTGGGGAGGGCACCATCCATCTCCACAAGAAAGGTTCAGAAGATAGGAGATCATAGTGGGAAACAACAGCTCCAGGCTGACACAAGCAAGGGGCCTGGGGACCTAAGTTGATGTTGAGACGTGTAGGTTTTAGAACACGTGCTCAAGAGGAAAAAAAACCCCAAAAAACAAATCTTCTGAGATTTTTCCATTGTTAAGTGAAAGGGGTTCCTTGAAGTTAAGATGAGTAGTTTTTTAATCTACACTGACAAGGGAGTGATATTAAGGGAACTGACATAAGATTTTTATATGTGCATCACACAAGATACCTATTTTCCTAGTGAGGACACTTCAGAAACATTATGTATTTTAAAACTTACACACAGGTCAAATTTTATGTAATCACTCAGATTTAAAATAAAAATAGATTCAGTGCCCACATCTTGTTACTCACTGGAAATATGCGTGTATGTAAATTAATCACCTGAACATGAATCAGAAATAGACCATCCCTTTTGGAAGAAGAATGCAGCATCCCAGGAGAGTAGGGTACAGGCTAAGTTATAGGAAATGTGAGCAATGAAGAAGAACAGGCCCAGTTCCTGAGCACCTTCCTGGGAGGGGTACTTTTACGCAAGCTAGAGGCCTAGCCAGGGGCCAGTGTGAGGGCTGTGACTCCTATTTCATGCCCAGGTGAAGGGGGGTGGATGCGGAGCATGAAGGAGGGCCATCCTTCTGCCCTCGGAAGCACTTTGATACTTGTACTCCTCCTCCCAGAACTGATCATGTGCTTCCTTCCAATAATGGCAGTTATTTTTCCACATGTGGTATCTTCCCTCCTAGACTGAAAGTTCTTCAAAGACAGGATATAATTTGGACTCATCTTTGAACTCTTCCCAAAAGCCCCAGCACAGTGCTTGTGAGTAACAGTGGATTATTACAGGAAACATCACCTACTTGAATATATTGCTACGTACTCCTACCCTCTGTGCCTGAAAAGCATGATTCCAAGGGTGACTGTCCTATAAACGTGCAATGGAAAGAGGGGTAGAGGCCAAAACCTGGTGCTTCATAAATCTGGTCTACTTTACAACCACCTTATGAAATCCTGAGCTCCCAAGAACATATGGTAAACTTAATATTCAGAATATAAATCTACACGTATACAAGAAAAATAGGCTTATTTTGTTCCCATTTCAAATCAGCAGGATAACTGTCTTTGGAAGAAATGACAAATAAATGAAAAAACTAAAGATAAATCTCTTTGTAAATTGGAGAAAGCATCTTCTGAATGAGAACAGAAGCTTTCACAAATTACAGCAATTAGAATTTGTCTTCTGTCTTTAGAAGAGGCTGAGCATTTATTTTTCTCTTCAACACCCATTAGTTCTTCTATTTGACACTAAAGTTTAACAATGTAGCTTGATTTCTTAACAATAATATCTAATAATTGCTTAATTATAATTGTATTTGAATTGCAACAGAATTATTTACTTTGGGAGCCAGAGTTCAGCAAGACTTGGGCAGATGACTGCTGTGGTCTTGACGATGGTTTCGGAGGTAATTCTTTAGCCTGGGAGGAACAAAAAAAAATGCACATAATTTTAAAATACTTTTTTACCTTGGAGCATATAAGGCTTTTTTCTTCTAATGAATATATGTGGCATAGTTTATCCTATGCACCTATTAACAAAGCACCCTACATGTGCATGTGCCCTGCTTTGGGCCACAGTTAGTTGAACTGGATGCCACATGCAGAGGTTGAAGGGGGTGCTCTTCTGTAACGGGAAGCTTGCGTCATCCAGGCACCTCATTCACTTGGTGGCTGGCTCAGCAAACCCTGGGAGGGCAGTGACAACTGAGGCTTTGTGTGTCCGTTTTCACGTTGTACCATGGGGATCAATCAGCTCCAAGAGGGTGTCGTGGAGCTCGGAGCACAACATCCTTGACCTTCAAGGCCTCAGTATCAGCAGCCATTGTTAGTATCATTATTTAATGTTACCAAGTCATGTCCTTGGAGAGATGCAATTATGGAAAACGAACTATGTTTCCCCTTGAAATTTGTACAGATGACATGTCAAAGTTATACAACATTTTCAAAAGAACTTTATGTAAATGAAATTATGGGGGACGTTTGGTGGTTATTGGGAACCTGATATCAAGGACAGAATATTCTATATAAAGAAATGTCTTCTGACTGCTGAGAGAAATGTAAAAACCAAGCATTACAGTAGGCTTCCTCTGTTCCCTTGCTGCTTTTCTTGCATTGATTCGTTGACCTTCATTTTCATACTTTTCAGTAAAGGAATCAAGAATTTCATAAAGTTCTTCTGCTTGAGCAGGTCGTGTTATTTCTCCAAATAAAATGTCATAAGCTCGGATGTCTTGACAATAAAATCTAATAAGAAATACCAAATTAAGAGCATTTATAGATGTAGATCTTTTCTAGAGTTAAAAGTAGGACACACACCTGTGTGTAGGCATTTACTCACATCTAGTACTTCATATATACTATTTTTCAAACACTAACTACAAGCCATAACCCATGTTAAACCCCTAAATTCACTCCCCCAAGCTCATCTCTAGAGCCAATCACCATCAATTTTTTTTGTTTTTTTCAGATTTTCTCTAAGTACATATTACTTTATATTGAATCTTTAAATAAAGAAATATACAGTTAGAGTCAAATGCTGTGTTAAAAAAGATTATACAATGTTACTCTGAACTCTGAACAACTATGTGAATCTATGAAGTATTATGTTTCTCATCATACTTTCCTGAAATCAATTAAAATTATGTGGCTTGCACTTACTTTCGATTAGTTTCTTTCCTTTCAATCAAACAGCTGCCTTCTAACGATATGCCAGCAAAGAGTCCTCTGGATTTGCAGTATGTAAAGACAGCAGTGGGGCTTCTCAGGGCAACATTTCCTTCTAAATTCCTGCAAAATAGAAGGTTTGCATCCTGGAACCACGAGAGAATGGGCCCTAAGATCATTAGTTGAGCAGCACCACACTTCTCACTCAAAAGAATGATCTTGTTCTTACTTCACTTGTTTTTATGTTTTACCTCCTGTTGTCCTGAGCTAGTTGTGCTTAGGGGGTTCCGGAGCAAGGACAGGGCATGGGGAAGGACACATTATTTAAAACCATTATCAAAGGGTGTGGTAATCATACCTTTCCAACTTTGTCTTCCTTTCTTAAAACAGGAATGTACCTTTTAAGATACCAAAGACTGTGGGTTCTTTTTACACTGAGCATTTTCATGGAATTTAGAAACCTTTTTAGATGATTGTATGGTCTGAGTTTTTGGTATTTCTACATTGCTCAAATGACCCAAAAATAGTTGTTCATTAACAGAGAGGTAAAACATACTACACATACTGTAAACATCACTCTAGTGAAACAATTTTATTTCAAATTTTCCATAATTTAGTTTGAAGAAAATCTTTTTTTTTCTTGATCAGTGCTGCCCTTTATCAGTTAATCAAATTGGACTTGGCTCCTTCAGAGCTTAAAGGTAAACTGTATGTTCCATTCCGGTAGATACATTGGCCTACATTTCTAAAGTATTTAGTTTCTTTTTGTGTGTTCTAGGTTCAAATTTTCTCATTTTATCACCCTGGGTGGGCTTTATAAATTTCTTATTTCCAAACAACCTCAAACCCTCTAGGACATATATAAATCATAAATCAGTTTCATTTCAATTCAAGCTTCCTCTTAGTGCAAACCTGTATAATTTTTAAACCATTACTATCCAACAGATGTTCAGAAAGTACTTTTCAGTACTCACCTTCCCAGAGGCCCAACTGCCACAGTAAAGTTCCCTCCAAGTGTCAGGTTACCACCTTTTGCAAAAGCTTCTACTGCTCTGTCATAATTCAAAATTATTACCAAATCTGATACCTGAAAATTTATTTAAAAATAATTATGTGTAAATGTCATTTAAAATATATGCTGATTAAAACTCAAATACATACCATATAATGTAGCAAGAATTTCAATGTAGACAGTGAAAGAATATGAAAGAAGAATCATTTTTATTTTGAGCTGAGGATGTAAGCAACAGATATTTCCACAGGTGAGTCAAGCAAACACCTCTGAGGATTCACTGTGCACCACGCATATACTGTGGGGCTCTGTGCATACCCCCAATCTTCTCGGCAAGCTTGTAATGTAGGTAGTGAGAGGGGTCTAGTGAGGCTAAGTGGCCTGTCCTAGTGATAGCCAGAATAGATACAACATAGGTCAGAAAGATTACAAGTACTCCCTTAGACTAAACACGTCAAGAAAGCCAAGCCAAAGACCATACGACTAGGAGTAAGGGCATAAGATCCAGGGTTGTCAGTGACATTTCCACACTGGAATCCCTGGCAAGGCCATGTGTTTACCACTAATAAAGTGCACGCTGTCCACTTTCTTTTAGGTGCAGAAATTCAAAATATCAGAAGGAAGCTAGTTAACTATTAGTTAATGCCTCTTACTGAGTTAATTCTCTAAGTAAAAGCAAAAATTAGAATGTGGGAATAATGCTCAAGACATGCCAACATGGAAGAGGTGTTCACCACTGCTGTATACAAGTCCAGTGAGAGCCCAGAAATACGGAGAGCCCTTGGGGGATAGAGGCCTGAGCGTCAGTCCAGCTCCCTCCTCGAGAGCTGCGTGACCTCTTATTCCGACTACTTTTGGGTCTCTCATCTTTTCATATGTGAAATCTGCAAAATAGGACCCACCTCACTCATCTATCTCAAGATCAAAGATGTGTGTGTCATGGATACCTAGAAAAGGAGAGGTGTACTGGTTGATGCTAAGAATTTGGGCTAAAAATCCAACTCTTTGGGTGTGAATTCTACTTCTGCCTCTTGCATATTGTGTGATCTTGGGCAAATGATTGAGCAGCTTGAAACCTTAGCTTGTTTCTCTGTTTTAAGGTGGGTATAATAATAGGAACCACATTTGTAAACAGACTCTGTATACATTTGTGCATAGACATACATATAAGGTTGTTTAAAGGATTAACTGAAATCATTTGTAAAACTTGGCATGTTTACCACAACTCAATAAAATATGCAAAGGCCAAGCAGACTGATGTTTAAAAGATTACTTTATATAGTTCTGTAATGTTGTATAAGTGTTTTAAAATCAATGTTTTCATCTGACCCACAGAAGAATACTTACTACCAAAAGAGATTGCACTTAAAAAGACCTAATGGAGATCCAATACAAGTAGACTCTTTAAAAAATGTTTAATTTGAACCATTTTATGAAAAAAATACACTCAATTTCCATAGGACAAACTAAATATACCAGCTAACTGACCCCTATGAAATACTTTACCCTGACTCATATCAACCGTTAATTCCATTTTATATATGGACAATTTCTGAAGATTGTGGTGTTGAATAATACAGAGTTAGCACTTTTATGCAAAATTAAGTGATTTTGCCAATGATTATATGAGCTATATCTTATATACATTTTAGGTAATATATATAAAATTGCTTTGCATAATGTTTGGTATATACACAGGCAGAAAGTATAAATCTCCAGCCATGACCATGTATATACCTGATTGCATAATGTTTGGTATATACACAGGCAGAAAGTATAAATCTCCAGCCATGACCATGTATATACCTGACCATGTATATACCTGATATTGTCCCCTTCTGCTTGGTACATCTTAGTATAATTAAATAAGGCAAAATTCTAAGAGTCAATTAAAGAAAAAAGTAATCCTTTAATTTTATGTCTCATCTCAATTCAGTTCTCTCTGAAATAAGAGTAAAATAATCCTGTGTTCTTTGGTGATATCACTAATGAGAGAACCAGGTCAAAGCTCCACAGACAATTTGAGGAGCAGAAGTGGCCCAGCAGCTCTTGGTTTGTTTCTATAGCTAAGAGTTACAGCAAAACAGATTCCCTGAAAGAAAACTGTCAAAAGACAAACACTGTAAGACAGACATTGAAAATTTGATAAGGTTTCTTAAGAAGTTTGTAATGAGATATAACTCTAAATAAGATGCCAGTTCTGCATTTAAATTCAATTCTTACACAAAAGAATGAAGAAAGCACAACTACCTGCAGGAAAAGTTGGGGGAGGAATGTTAACCCCTGATAACCCCTGAGTAACAGACCTCAGCAAACAGGTACAGGGTAATGTAGCCAGGAGCCCTCCTCCCCCCAGAGGCCATAATCATTAGGAGCAAAGTTACAAAATGAAACAATGCAAAGCCAGCATTTGAAGTAATTTGAGGATCCGGATGTAACATAACAGGGTGTTGCCACAGGTGAAGATACACTATATTAAGCCAGGTATGCCCAGGATCTGAGCTCTGGCTTATTCAACAGCCCACCGTGGAGATAAGCAGCTTTGCAATCAGCAAGCCATACGCAGCCAAATACAGTCAGCCCGATTTGAAGCCTATCTGTTCTACAGTTGAGCTAAAGATGGAAACAGAGCAAAGCCTGAATGAGCAAAATTCTACTCTAAATGAAAGAACACCGGTGTACGTTAGATAGTTGTAGGTGGGGATCTGTCCAGAAAATGAAATATATAGAATAAAATCTATTTTGTCAGTGGTGAAATAAGAACAGTAGGTAGTCTCTCAAGTTCTATGTAGTAAGTTTCAGCTGCTTTTAGAGAGAATGGCAATTGTATGTTTATAGACTTACCTCAATTCCTATTTCAAATCCTCCACCAAGCCCAGCTATCCCAATGGCTGAGGGTGCAGACCATTCTAATAAAACCAAAGAAACAAACGTTACTCTAACATTAAAACCCCTTGACACACACATATGAGAAGGAAAAATGCTACAATGAGAATAAATAGTGTTTCTTTTAAAAATAACGAGACTTTGGTGTATCCCCTGTGTTTTTAATATTCTTTAATAAGCATATATAATTTTTAAAAAAGATTTTATTTATTTATTTGACAGAGAGAGACACAGTGAGAGAGGGAACACAAGCAGGAAGAGCGGGAGAGGGAGAAGCAGGCTTCCCGCAGAGCAGGGAGCTGGATGCAGGGCTCAATCCCAGGACCCCAGGATCATGACGTGAGCTGAAGGCAAATGCTTAATGACTGAGCCACCCAGGCGCCCTGAAGCATATATAACTTTTAAGTTAAAAATGTTTGAAAGGTATTAGATATTGAGGCTCACAGACTCACAAATCCATGTCCCCTAATCTTGGTCTATAAACATGCATAATATATCAAACAATTGAATCCTTACCTACTAAACACATAGCATTTGATCATTTCAACTCTCAACATTTACATAATGTTTCACAAAATAATTGAGCTGTATAATTCTAGTTTTTAGTACAATTTTATCATAGATATAAGAGAGCAAAAGGATTTTAAAAAGTTTATTATAATCATTTCTAAGGGTAACACAATAATAAACTGTTTCTGTTGTAAATTTCTAAGGGCAAAAACTGGTCTTTTGTGCCTAGTAGAAGAACAAGAAATAGGCTATAAATTCAAGATTTTTAAGATTTTAACAAGATAAATTTCCTTACATTTGAAAACTAAGTACAATAATTCCATTTGAATTAGGAAAAAAATTAATTTGATGGGGGAAGGGTGGGTTAGTATAGATAAAGTACTTTCTGAAAATGCTTGTTAGCTTCCTAACCTAATTCTGTGTTCTAGATAACAGGATATTGCTTGAATGTATTCAGAACTAACCTATCCAGGCTTAGGGGAGTTTTGATTACAGAAATTAGTGTCATATAATCCCAAAGTTGTTTTCCATTTCCTATGTTAGGAACCGTCCCTGTTTGAAGACTGCCCATCTGCCAGGATCTGGGGAATATGCTGCTTCATTTGGGCAATTACCTTCTGCAGACCGAGCAGCTGGTACTCAGGAAGGAGGGAGAGAGAAATGTAGGGATTTGGCCCAGTAGAAAGGTCCCCCCTGAGGTTCTGAGAGACCGCAGAGATTGTCGGGCCTCTACCTTTGCAGATAGCCTCCCTGTCAACCACCAAGGGGAAGTTTTCACAGACACTGAAGGACTTTTGAATGTGCCTCGACTTTGTCTGGTTATCCTGTGGGAACTCTGCTCATGAAAATGTGGGTAGTACTTGAGAAGAGGAGAAGTTTGTTGTTTTCATTTCATAGGCAAGGACTGAACCATGAAGTGCTGGGCCACAGCTTCAGGGAGAGACTCTAATTTACTGTGGGGACACATCACAGGACACAGTGGACCTCACCACTGAGGTTCAGTGGCCACGTGCCCCACAAACACCCAGATGTATCTACTGTCATTGTGTTATGCTCTCTTCCAGAATGAAATTAAATTATCTACACTAAAAACATCTATTAAGAGAGAAATATGTTCAATTATATGAGTGAACTGAGAATGTTAAACTGGTATAAAAAGCATTATAGTTAGTTATGACACAACTACCTATATTTTAAATATACTATAAATGTTGGTTAAATATTGGGAATTAAGGGAAATATATTTTGATTTCATCTCTGAAAAATCAAGTATTAGTTTTCACCCCAGAAAGTAAAACCAAATTGTATTGATCTTGACATGCTTCCACCTTGGGTATAGGCTTTAAAGAAAAATTTCAGTTTTTATGGTTTCCTATGGGAATAGTAGAAAGATTACAGATGGGTCTGATTTTCTTATCAACTTCCATATAACAAAAGAAAAGTTATTCACGAAGCTGAAAAATAAGATTCATATTTAACATCAGAAATGCAAATATTGTCATGTTCAATAACTGCTCCATGGAAGAATTACAAAATGTACATAAGACAAAGCTAGATCTATCCCTCCAAGTCTTGTCTACTATTTTAAGAGGAGGAGAGAAATGGAAAGGCTCACTGTCCTTGTTGATGGGACATCCAGAGTGCACATTCCAGGATGACAACGTTAGGGGGCATGAGGAAACCTATCATGCTCCCTGCCAAATGTTTCCAAGATGAAAATAAGCAACTTACTTCCGTCTGGAAGACGTGCCAACACGACCCCACTGCCTCCTCTAGCAGTTACCAGAAATCCAGCTTTTATCACAGACAAAATCGCAAGGCCCTTGGCTTTAGCAATTACATGGGCTGCAAAATTAAAGACAACGGGCAGGTGAATGTTTTTAGTGGACTTGCCTGAATAGATGAGCGTTAAGCAGATCAATACACACAAAGCTCTGCTGGGCAGGATCCCAGGGTTCTCAGTTCCAGTCTTAACAGCACGTATGAGCCAAATAAAACTCGCTGACGTAGCACACGGACCCAAGGCTGTCTACTCGGCCTCCTTCTTTGGGGTATATTTCCAATGCTATGCATAACATACAAAGTGCTAAAAAATCCCTGCAACTGCTATAATAAATGAGGTATGTGGATGAGATTTTCTTTTTATTGACATCTACTAGCACGACAAATAATTTGGAAATTTCAATTAATTGAGAATATAACTCATAAAAAACAAGTTATTGTTTTCAAAGTGATTAAGATCCATACAGAACTAAGTACTGAGGAGAAAGCTGACAAAAGACTGGCATCCCGCAAACAGCAGAACTTTGATCTTAAAGCCGTATAGTTAGTTCACCTTTTATGAATATGAAAATTAGATTCAAATACAGAAAAAACAAGGGATTTTGCCACTTTAAAATATTTTTAACTTTATAAAATGATCCATTCAAGTATTCAAGTAACACATAACTATTAGTGTACTGAGAATATAATTTATACAATATTGGTTCATTCACATTTTGGGGAAGTTCATTACATAAAATGAGCTACTAATATATGTACCACCCCCAAACACTGCACCTCCCTTTTCTGTGGATTCATTCACACAACAGTATATCTTTCAAATAACAAGGGAAGCCCGAACATTGGAAGTTACTCTTGGTCCCCAACATCACTTTTAAGACTGTTCGATTTCTTGTCTTTTGTTAAATATTCCATCAAGAAAGTCAAACCAGACACTGTACTCAAACACACAGAAATGGTTTTCTGGAAGTCCCTAGAAAAACACTAAATTTCTAATATAATTATGCACATCACTTCAAAATTTTAATTAATGATAGACTCTCAGTGATAACTCACCCAAGAGCAGGAAGTTAGCGTGCAGACATATGTGATGTTACTTGTAGTTAAGCAATGCACAGAAAACAAGGTTGGGCTTTTAGATTGCAGTCCACTAGGCGTGCCTTCATTTTGTATTTTAAAAGGTTATAAGTATATTGTGACGAGGTTAAAAGCTCTATTGTATATTACATAGGTTTATTTTTACAACCACATTTTGGCAGAACATCTTCCTCTACCCTCACACTCCACTCTCAACGTGTGTACGGTCAGGATTGCCTCTAGATAGAACAAAAGTCGATGAACATATTTTAAATGTCAGGTTTGTTTTTATAGATTTTCCACCCAAATTTGGGGACACTAAAATACCAATAATGCTTAAATAATTTGCGAATTAGCTTTTCATTTATAATATAGATGCACTGATTACAGATTCCCTGATGGAATTTTACTGCACAAAATCCATGAGAAATAATCCATACTCAGATGTTTCTATGTCAGGAGATACAATTTATCCATAAATTGGGCTCGCACGCTGTTGTGTATGCAGATGCTGATATGTATATCAAGAAATGTCTTCTATCTCCTGCTTCAGAATATTGCTACTGAAAATTCAGTTTTTCTGGTTGAATTTTCTTCAAGTCCTAAAGTAGTACTTTTCAAACTGGTATGTGCATCCAGATCACTGGAGATCTTGTGAAAAATGCAGATTCTGACCACTGAGGCCTCAGTGGAGCCTCACTGCATTTCTTTTTTTTTTAAATAATTTTTTATTGTTATGTTAATCACCATACATTACATCATTAGTTTTTGATGTAGTGTTCCATGATTCATTGTTTGTGCATAACACCCAGTGCTCCACGCAGAATGTGCCCTCTTTGATACCCATCACCAGGCTAACCCATCCCCCCACCCCCCTCCCCTCTAGAACCCTCAGTTTGTTTCTAACAAGCCCCCAGGTGATGCCCAACTGCTGGTCGAGTCTGCACGTGGAGTAGCAAGGCTCTATGCAGCACGGTTTTCTTGATGGGAGTAGTGGACCCAAATAATAATAATTACAACAACAAATTAAATTTTTTTAACATTTAAAGATCTGCTAAATAACTTTAAAAATCTGGCTTAAGAAATTAAACTAGTTTTAAAAAAAGAAGTTAAACTGGTTTTTGTAATGCAGGAATAGTTTCCCACGCCCATGATTAATTAAGAGGGAAAGTAGTCTGTAGCAGTGCCCAAGCCAGTTTGCATGTGAATCTTTGCCTCCTGGCAAGGAGGAGTATTCTTTGAACCACCCTATAGAAATAACTGGGAGTGGGAACAAACAGGTAGTGGTTCCCAAAAGCCCATCTCTAGACTCAGGGCTTTTGTGGTCCACCTTGCTTTAGAATTCCAGCCACTCTGCTCCAAGGGTCTGACTCAGCAGGTTTGGGGGGGAATTTAGGCACTGTATTTTAATGATCCAAGGAATATGATGCACAGCTGGGTTAGGAATTATTGATTAATGTCTTCTTCAACCACTATAAAGTGTAAAAATCTTATCTCAAAAAAGAAAATCCAAAATTAAATTGGTTTGTGAGATTAGTAATTTTGCGAGATAAGCTTGCAAAGACCTCAGAAATTGAGGACAATGACAGGTGAGTTTGGGGAAAGCCAAAGCGGGCACTATGAAGGGTAAGCAGGAAAGGGAGCCTCCACAAAGGTAGAGGGCAAAGGGAGGTGTGGGGGCCCCAGGAGACCATCCGGCATATCAGCCAGGAGGATAACGGAGCTCTGAGGGCTTGCTGCTCTCAGGGGGTGCTCTGCCTGAGCTCAAGGAGTACACCAAGTAACTTAGACAACAAAACAAATTTAGAAATGAGAGGTACATATTTTATTTACCAGGAATGATCTTATCAGGTCCATTTCTGGAAGTTATTTCCGTGAATTCTCTTAGAATTTTAGCAGCCTTTTTTGCTTCCGATTTCAAATTGGAAGGTATAGGATTATTCACTGAAAGATTAAGAAAAGGAGATTTTAATGAAAAAATCTAGTAAATATGAGTTAGAAATTTATTATAATTTCATTTTTTCTCATGCACAACTGAGGATTAATCAATTGTATCCTTCTAGACAAAAGAAATGAACTGGAAATCCTCAAATTATTGTCTCATTTCTATTTTCCTGATAAATTCATTCTGAGATTGGGAAACCTCAAACTCTCAAAATTCCAGAAATTATAAAATCCTGGGATTCTAAGAGATCTTAAACAAAATCTGGTCCAACCTCCCAATTGTGTATCTGCTCTCTGTAATTCTTTTTTTTTTTTTTTTTTTTTAAGATTTTATTTATTTGAGAGAGAGAGAGAGAGAGAGGGAACACAAGCAGGGGGAGTGGGAGAGGGAGAAGCAGGCTTCCCACGGAGCAGGGAGCCCGATGCGGGGCTGGATCCCAGGATCCCGGGACTACGACCCAAGGCCAAGGCAGACGCTTAACTGACTGAGCCACCCAGATGCCCCTGCTCTCTGGAATTCTTAACTCACCTCAGTACTAACTAAAAATCTTTAAAATTTAAAGAATTAACAAAAGATGTAACTTACAACCGTCTGTAATAAAAAATATAAAATTTACTATATCTGGATATTTTTGTCAAAATATTGAACTATCTGTATAGATTATTCTTATTAGTAAAATTCTAAGAGACTCAGGAACTGAGTGATTACTCCCCTGTGTTTGTATAGCATTCTACCTTTCAGGCTGGCTTTGGTGTTCCCCAAGTCATGCAAGCATGAATTTATCCCCACAAAGGCACAGAAAACCCTCCCAGACCTGAGGTATGTGGGGATGGGTCGTCCCTTTCTCACAGGACAAAGGAATCTGAAGAGCCAAAGAGATCAAGAGGCTTCAACCTCACATCTGGTTCAGGCCCTCAAACGCATTTTTCATTTCGATGATGTTTTCAGCTCCGAAAGTGCCATTTTGGGGGGTTCTTTCCATTTCTGTCCTCAATCGATTTATGTTGTTCTTTAAATACTTGAGCGTATTTTAAAAGGTGCTTTTTTGTCCTAGTTTGATAATTGCATCATCTCTGGCCTTTTGGGATCTGTTTTTGACAGATTTTTCTCCTAGTTATGGATTAGATTTTCCTGTTTCTGGCCATTTCTAGGAAAATTTAGTGGATGCTAGATATGGTGAATATTGCCCCACGCGTGGCTAGATTCTGTTGTCTTCTTTCGGGTTGGCGCCCTTTGTAGCAGGGAGTTACCTGCTTGTCAGCTCAGTCTTTCCCGGGCCTACTTCTGTGTTTAGCTCCGGCGCCTATATTTTTGACGTGAGCCCTACAATTATGGTGTGACTCTTTGGGTTCTCTCCCAGTGTCCTCAGGGGTTTAATGAGCTCTCTCCCCTTCGGATGGTGGGAACTACTTCCACCCAACCCCCACTGAACTGAAAACTATTCACTCATGGCTTCCTCATAGTGGTTCTTTGCTCCACCTTGGAAGTTTCACCTGTACACCTAGGGTTTGGTATTCGTCCAAGGATTTGTGATCCCTTGCAGATTTCTTGAGCCCTCTCTTCAGGGAGCCTGCTTTGCACAGTCCAGTTTCACTGGCTTCCCCAAAGCCTGTTGTCTCTTTCATGCAGTGAGAGCAGGAGCTGGGGTTGACTTCCTGGCCCTGCAGCCCCTGGACGGGCCTTCAGGCAGGAAAATGGGCAGTCTTGGGGTTCAGCTCACTTCTCCCTCTTCCCTGGGGTCCTAGACACACTCACCTGGCATCCAACATGTGAGAGCAGATACTCGCTATATTTTGCCCAGTTTCTAGGGGTTTACAGTAAGTGGCAGTTTCTTTGTCATGAACCTCTCAGTGTGCTTTTATTTGTTAAGTAATGTTAAATATCTTTCCATTCCTGTCAAATCTTTCATATTGTTCTACGAGGGGGGTGTTTCTGTTTCTTATTAATTTATAAAGTAAGGAAATTAGCCTTTTTCTAAGTCACAAATATTGATTTGCCATTTGTCATTTGTCTTTCAAATTTTCTTACGATTTTTTTTTTTAAGATTTCATCCATTTATTTGACAGAGAGAGAACACAAGTAGGGGAAGCAGCAGAGGGAGAGAGAGAAGCAGACTCCCCTCTGAGCAGGGAGCCCGATGCAGGGACTTGATCCCAGGACCCCGAGATCATGACCTGAGCCAAAGGCAGAAACTTAACGCACTGAGCCACCCAGGCACCCCTTACGATGGTTTTTCTACTTTTGTCTTAATTAAATCAAGTTCATCTTCTCTTTTAAGTTTTACAAGTATCTCTAATTAAACAAAATGATTCACAAGTTCATATAGAAAAATAAACAAGCAAGAAAATATAGGGAAAAAGTAGGTAAAAGAAGAATGAGGGGGACAAGCTCTTCCAGAAGCCACAACATACTATAAAGCCTCCATACTTGATAGTAGATGTGACTATAGGTAGAAAATCCAATTTTACAAAATAGAAAATTCAGAAATTGACTCAAATACACAAAATAATTTAGTATATAATAAAGATACCACCTTAAGTCATTGTAGAAAAGCTGTATTACACAATAAATAGTGATCTTTGAGGGAAAAAATTCATCCACCGCTTCATGTTACACAGGGATAAACTCCAAATTCATCAACAATTTGAAATGCCAAAAATCAAACCATAAAAGAACCAGAAATTATGTGAGAATTGCTTTTCAAATTCATAGTGCAAAAGGCCCAAATATGACAAAAAAGTCTATATTTTTAAATGATCAGAAATTATGGCATAAGCATACTGTAAACAAAGAAAAACTATACATATGTAAATATTAAAGAAAAAAGCCACCCCTACTATTAATATCCACCAATACTACTGTCTGCATTTTAGTGTATGCGATTGATCCCTATTGCTAAATATGTAGATTATTTCCATTTTCAGCTTTTACAGATATGACTGTTGGCTGGCAATCATCTTTGGACAGAGTTTTAAGAGTTGGAATTGACAAATCAAAAAAACCCCAAAATTAGTTTATTATATTACCAAATTGTCTCCTAAAAATACTACCCAAGTTTAACTGACTGAACCACCCAGGCACCCCAAAATACTACCCACATTTAGAACACTGGGTATTACCATAAAAAAATTCCACTGTTACGGGTGACATTGGGAAAAGCAAAGTCTGTACATCAGAAAAACAGGATGACAAATTTTATTTGAATTTATCTGAATATGTGAATTTTTCTTTTGTTTGATTACATTTCCTGTTTTGCATATTTTCTGTTCACATTCTTTGACTGTTTTTCTTTCTGGTGCCATACTCCTTTTGTCTATAATTTTAATCATGTTGCAAGTCTATGTCTCTGCTTGCTTTTTAAAAAAATTATTTATAATTTTTCAGCATTTGCTTTTATTTATACGGCAACATTTTTCTGGGCTTTCTACTGTTTCATCTTTCTATTACTGTGACTAAAGGCCTTGATTAAAAAAAACAAACAAACAAAAACTAAACGAAAACAGCCAATATTCTATATTCTCTTCCAGAGCTTATATTTTACATTAACTATTTGGCCCATCTGAAACTTATATTGGTATAGGATATGAAGAACCTAGTATTTTTTACATACACAACATGATTTATTGAATAATCCACAGCACTTAATTAAAAATGTCACCTTCATGACAAAAGCAAGAAAAATATATTCATATATGCATTCACATATTTAAAAATATATGACAGAGATGACATGGTAGTTTAATAAATTATTCTGGGACAACTGGTCATTCAAATAAAAACAAAATAAAATTAGATTATAATACCACATCATACACAAAAAATTTCAATAACTGAATGCCTTAATACTAAAGGCAAAATTTAGTACTTTTAGAATAAAAGTAATAGAAAATATCTTTATAATCTGGGCAATGAAGGAATGCCCTAAACAATGCACAACAATTACAGGAAACTACAGATATATTCATCTACATTAAAGTCAAGAAAAAGTTGTATCAACATACATTTGAAAATAAGAATGTAAGTGACAGCCTGGAAGGCATTTGTCATATGCATAAATGGCAGAGATCTAGGGTTCAGAATACAGAGAGATCTTTAAAAATCAATAAAAATACAAGAGGCACAACAGAAAACTGTGCAAAGTGTTCATTTAGTTAATTCACAGAAGAGGAAAACTCTGTGGCTGGTAACCACCTGAAAAGTTGGACGTGCAAAGTAAGGCCAGAGAGTCCCCATTTCTCATCCCTTGGGTTGACGGGCGTGTGAAGGCCTGCCAGTGCGAGCGCAGGTTGTGGTATAAAGGGGAGTCTCCTGTCTGTTGGAGGGGCAGAAGTCAGTGGAGGGCCCTAGCAAGGACAGGCAGACACGAGCAGTTCCTACAACCTACCTATTTTACTCCTAGGTGAAATCGCAGGTAAAGGTCCACAGGTGTGCTCACTGAGGCCTTGGTGAGTTGAGTGCTGGCCCCCAAATTCTCGTCCACCTGGCCCCTGAGAATGGGACCTTATCTGGAAAAAGGGTCCTTGCAGATGTAATTAAGGATTACAAGGTGAGATCATCCTTGGCTACCTGGGTGGGTGGACCCCAAATCTGATGATGAATTTCCTTCATTTAGGATTCAAAAAACAGACACAGAGGAGGGAAGACAATGGGGCCACAAGCCAAGGAGCATCTACCACCCCCAGAAGCTCAGAGAGTCCAGGAGAAGGATCCCCCACAAGCTTGGGAGGGAGCGTGGCCCTGCTGACACCTTGAATAAATTTCTGTTCTTACGGGCCAGCCACTTTGCAGCAATGTGTTGACAGCACCGGAAACCAACACAATGTGCGTAGAACGGTCACAGAGGCAGTGTTCCTAACAGCAAACCAGTAAGAACACATACAAATAAACACATTCAAAGAAGGAAACAAATTTTCCTCAAGAAGAGGATGAATAAATACGGTTTGGTGTAGCATTAAAACTGTATTCTCTAACTTCAAACAAACTAGATACACACACACCA